AGCTTGTAGTACAGTTTGTCTCTTCTGGATAGTTCAGTCAGGTCTTGACACTGAGGTTGGTATCACTGTTCACGGCCACGCAGGACAGAGGTTCATACACAGTAGAAGTCATATTCTATTGGGACTAATCAGTGTGGACCAGCAGCAAATTTAGGATAAACAGCAAGAATGTCTTAAACACTCCTGATCCAATGTATTAATTACAAAGTTCATGATACAATAAGTCAGGTGGCTGAAGTCTTTGACAGAGTCATTCAACAATATAGTGTTCGAGTGTATGAGAGAAGGGAGAAGACGAGGGTAGAGAATTGACGAGAGAAAGACAAAACTTCGAACGGTGGAAGAGGAAATAGGAGAAAAGAAGTAAACACAAGGAGGCATTGAAAGGGGCAGAGATAAACAAAAAGGCAGAAATGAGAGACAGGAAAAAGCCACCGTAACCCTGCAGGAGGAGGAGGAGGAGGAGAGGAGGAGGAGGAGGTGGGAGGAGGTGAGGAGGAGGAGGAGTCAACTCGACAGATAATAGGCCTCCTCCATCTCCTCCTCCTTCCACCTCCTCCTCCAGTCTTCACCTCCATCTCCTTCTCCAGTCTTCACCTCCCTCCTCCTCTTCCACACCCCTCTTTCCCTCCTCAACCAGATCCCCCCTAACACTATACCCCTCCTTCCCTCACGCCACCCTCTCCTTCCCCCTCCGCCACACCCTCTTTCCCTCCTCACCACCCCCCCTCCTTCCCCTGCCACACCTCACCCCCTCTACCCCACACCCCTCTTCCCCCCCCCTCTCCCTCACCCCCCTCCTTCCCCCCCCCCCCCCCCCACCCTCCTTCCCCTCACGCCACCCTCTCCTTCCCCCTCACCCACCCCCTTCCCCTCCACCCTCCTTCCCCCCCACCCCCCCCCCCCCCCCTCCTCCTCACCCCCCTAACACCCCTCTTCCCCCCACACCCTCTCCTTCCCCCTCACGCCACACCCCTCTCCCTCCTCACCCCCCTAACACCCCTCCTTCCCCCCTCCTTCCCCCTCACGCCACACCCTCTCCTTCCCCTCACGCCCACCCCTCCTTCCTCCTCAGCCACCCCCCTAACACTATACCCTCCTTCCCCCTCACGCACCCTCTCCTTCCCCCTCACGCCACCTCTCCTTCCCCCTCACCCACACCCCTCTTCCCTCCTCAACCAGATCCCCCCTAACACTATACCCTCCTTCCCCTCACGCCACACCCTCTCCTTCCCCCTCACGCCACCCTCTCCTTCCCCTCACCACACCCCCTCCTTCCCTCCTCAGCCACCCCCCCACCCCCTCACAACAGATGCCCTCAAGGCCAGGTGATCCACACAACACATTATTTGGGTCTCATTACTCGCACAGTTTCCGCTCTGGGTCATTACCATTGTCCTGACCGCCGCCGAGGGTGAAGGGGGAAGAGGAAAAATAGGAAGAGGAAGAGGAGGTCAAAAAGACGATGGGGGTGAGGTGGAGTTTACCGTGTCTACAGGCTAGGTGTCCCGTGCTCCAAGATATCTCGCGGTGCTGACAAGTCCTCACCCTACTCTTATGACACACACACACACACACACACACACACACACACACACACACACACACACACACACACACACACACACACACACACACACACACACACACACACACACACACACACACACACACACACACACACACACACACACACACACACACACACACACACACACACACACACACACACACACACACACACACACACACACACACACACACACACACACACACACACACACACACACACACACACACACACACACACACACACACACACACACACACACACACACACACACACACACACACACACACACACACACACACACACACACACACACACACACACACACACACACACACACACACACACACACACACACACACACACACACACACACACACACACACACACACACACACACACACACACACACACACACACACACACACACACACACACACACACACACACACACACACACACACACACACACACACACACACACACACACACACACACACACACACACACACACACACACACACACACACACACACACACACACACACACACACACACACACACACACACACACACACACACACACACACACACACACACACACACACACACACACACACACACACACACACACACACACACACACACACACACACACACACACACACACACACACACACACACACACACACACACACACACACACACACACACACACACACACACACACACACACACACACACACACACACACACACACACACACACACACACACACACACACACACACACACACACACACACACACACACACACACACACACACACACACACACACACACACACAAAGAGTTTAATTAGCCCTGTAATCATAATCATATGATTAATCATAATCCATTTTTTCATGACTTTTACTCAAAACCAAATCACAATCAACATTTTTAATGATTATAATTATATTATTGATACAATTATAATCATAAGCATAATCAAGTGGTGTAATCAACCCCGTGTCTGCTGGTATGATTAAGTTAGGACCTAACTGTTCATAACCCCCAGCACTATACCGACGACTCTTACACTTAGAGGATAAATAAAGTGGTGACCAACTGTTTCAGCCTTACATTGTACACTGCAGGACAAGTGTTATTCACTCCACGTTAAAAGCCTCCATAACTACATCAATTAATAAATGTAAACGTTGTCGGACCGGGTGATGAGTCCCATTATAACATTGTTATCCCCGGCTACTGTGTGCGCCTCACGTCTCACTCAGAGGCTTCGGATTCACGCTCGGGGTTCACACTTGACGGAGACAACACTGAGTGTACTAGTCGGTGTTGTCCCCAACTATTACTAAAATAGCTCCTCGAGTCTACTACTTCCTTTGTGTCACTCAGAAGTGCATATGACGACTATCTATAGTCAGGAAGAATGATATGAATTCTTAGTCATGTCAACTTTGTTGGTGGGCCGATACGGGACCGACAGGGCCGTCGGCAGATGTTGTACATGTGGAGGGCTACATCTAGTGCGGGGGCAGCGTCTTTCTGTCACTGGCGCTTGTCAGCCTTTGCAAGTACTCGAGCTAACTCAAAGGTTTTAACACCTCGTTTGGTGTGGTGGGCACAGCTAAATGAAAAGTTAGCTTCGCTAACCGCTAATCTGTTAACTAAAAAGTTAACTTCGCTAACGCTAAACCGCTAAACAGCTAAAAAAAATTAGCGGAAGCTAACGCTAACCGCTAACTTTTATTATATGAATTTAGCTTTGTTTTTTTTTTGGCTCTAAAACCACCCTTAAAAACAGACCTAGACAGCTGAAATTTTCTTATGTTGTGTTGTAGCTTAGACATAGAGCTTTCCCAAAAGGTACAGCATGCCAAGATCAGATGATGATCAAGGTGTACACAAATAATTAAATGAACAAATGAAATTAAACATTAGTTTACATTCAAGTTTCAACATACACTTTATAATCTTTATTTACTGTACGAAAAGACAGAAAGTATTAAACAAATCCAAAAACTATACAATAGTACTGTACAGCACAGGTAGCAAATAGCATCATGCCAAGATCAGATGATGATCAACTTATCAAGGTGTACACTGTACACAATTTCACAAATAATTAATTTGCATTCTCATCCAACCTATCGGCCTCATTCATTATTCGTGTAATATGCAATACCAACCTGTTACGAACCCCTCCACCCAGCACTACGAACCACGCCATCTATTGTCTTGATCTACCTACCCAGCACCACGAGCAACGCCATCTAGGGACGAGACACGAGTATGACTCGTCTTAGTTACCACTCAGGGGTTTCTCTTCTCCATATCCTGGTTGTTGCGTCACCTCCTCAAAGTCTTCTTTGTCAGCTCCAATTCGAGGAGAGAGCACTTGGCTCTGGGAAGTGCCCACAGGATCATCTATCCTCTAAACCTGCGGCGAAGTGACTACCTACCGTCTTCTACAATACTCAGCCTTACTCGTCAGCCATCTCAGCTCCTCACTTAAGTATTTGTATTTTGTATTGCCTCCCCCACGTCCACTTGCTTCAAAATTGTTTATGTTGTATTATTATGTATATACTGTTAATGTTTAGGTTAAGTATGGTTAAGGGTAATTTATAAGCTGAATATTTTGTTTAGGGATTTATGGTACTTTATTATACACAACGAAAACTCGCATCCTTTGTCTACCCTTTTATAGTCCGATTGTCTTTGTTTTTGTTTTTTTGTTACCTGTTGGGATCTGGGTAGACGTATAACTATATTCTAAATCCCCAACTCGTAACAAACCACAGACAGGAACAAACATGTATAAAATTTGTTAGCGGACTTAAAGTTAGCGGAACTAAATTTAGCGGAAGCTAATTGGTCCGCTAATGGTTTCCAAAGTTAGAGAAAACGCTAATCCGCTAACGAAAAAGTTAGCTTCGCTAATTAGCGGTTAGCGGATTAGCGGAACCGTGCCCACCACTGGGTAAACGTTTCCCAGGTGAGGGGGTCAATCTGGCTTCTTTTGCAGGTTTGTCTTAAGACTATCCTTATACTTTTCCGTGGACCACCAGCGTTACGTTTGTCATTCTTTGAATGTGATTGTAGAATAGCTGCTTTGGCAATCGACTGTCCAGTCCACCGCAGCTGATCAAGGGCAATGTCCCCTAAAGAATAAACGGACCACCAAGTACCGACTGCTCCTTAAACTAACTCCTTGAATATAAACACCACTTCAAGCACCAACTAACATAATTAATATAATTAATTGTGTGGAAACACAAACTCCCGCTCAAGATCCCTTTATGATAGGAGAAAAACTAAACACAGTATATTAAGTAGAGTAGTTATATCAGAGTCGGCTTGGTACTGTATATTAGGATGAGTGAGGACCACGACATGAGTGGGAGGAAGGAATAGACACTTACCTGAGGTCATGAGGCTGGGTGAGGGGGCTGCCAGGTGAGGGTGTGACGATGATGGCTGGCGCGGGTGTACCATGGCGGGCGATGCGTTTGGGCGTGGATGTGTCGAGGGCGGGGAAGCTGCCTGGCGTGGGTGCTGCATGGGAGGTGAGGTTGTGTACCGCAGGTGGGAAGATGATGGAGAGGCAGCTTGGTGTGGGCGTGATGCTGGAGGAGATGTGGCCTCACGAGGACGTGGTGCAGATGGGGATGTGGCCTGGCGTGGGCGGGGCGCAGGCGGGGAGGTAGCCTGTCGTGGACGGGATGAGGAAGGCACCTTGGTGAATACCCCGGAAGCGTCGCCGTCATAGTCACTGTTGTCTGAGGTGCCCCGGGAGGAGACGCTCAAGCCGGAGTTGGTCCTGGAGGCTGGTGAGTGGTCGTCCTGACCCTCTACTTCTATCTCGATGATCCGCGTCACCCCTTGAGGAGCATGGGGGTGCCGACGTAGCTTAGAGGTGGGCGTGCCCTGGTCAGGGGGTCGGCTGCTACCATGACGGCGCGAGTGTTCCCTGGGGGCAGGCGTGGGTGGGGGAGCACTGCGCCTGTGGTGGATGATGGCAGGATCGTGGTTGATGGGTGTGCTGGTGATGGGCCCTGAGCTGATGTAGCCACCCAGGGATGGGTTCTCCCTCAGCGGCATCACTGGGGACTGTGAGCGCCGAGAGGGCTCTGAGCGCCCCCGGCCCGGTCCGCTAGGGGAGCGCGCTCGTGTGCGAGGCATAGAATGAAACCTACTGGGGTCGTGTGCTAGGCTGGGGGAGAGGTGGGGATCGCTAGGCTGGTCGTGGGGTTCTCGGGCCTGACGGAGTTTGCGGGGCAGGGTGGACGGCCGCTCAGGCTTGGAGGGTGGAATACGGACGGACTGTTGGGGCAGGTCAGGCAGCAGGCGACGCCGCTGTGGCACTGGAGGGGAGTCAATGGAGAGTTGACGCTGTAGGGTGTAGGAATGTGGCGAGCCCGGGCTGTCGGGGTACTGGCCTTGAGGTGGGAGGGGCGCGGGGCCCTTCAGATGACGTGGACCTGGTGGTACACCGTCAAAACTGCTCATGCTATACCGGCGGGGCGGCGCCCCCCGGGAAGGGTAGTGCGGTGAGTCCCACGGGGGCTCGTTTTCGTCTGTGGGTGTGCGGTGCCCCCGAGGTGGTTTATGTGGGGTAGAGGAGGGCCGTAGCTCAGGTGAGGTCCGCTCCACACTCGCCGGACCTGAAGGAAAAGTAGCAGGTTAAAGAGAACCAATGTTACTACAGGTGTATGGGAGACAACACACTACATGATGCGACGCTAAACATAAGACATGCTTACTGGTGTTAACACTACAGTACAGTAATAGGTAGACAAACTACTGCATCAGGTCACTCTAGCAAGAACAACAAACTACAATATTCTACATTATTTTTCAAAGATAACATAACAAACACAAAACAATAAACAGGATAAACCAAACATACTCTGTACTGCACCAAGAAGGAGGACAATACAGACATTCTGGAGTAATAACATCACAGTAGTAGTATACAAATATTCTCGCCCTAATTTGAAGATAAAAACATAGATAGCTTAACACAGTTGATCGAATACCCTACAATTTTACTTTTGAGGATACTAATCCATCTCAAATGTACTGTAGTCATTGTATACGAGAGGGTTATGAAGCTGGCTGGGTGCATTTGTAAGTGCATCTAATTAAGTCAAATTTTCTAGATATTTTTCAATTACCATGACAAATTTTGCCAGATAATTAGTCAAAATTACTTCAGCACCAAGTCCTAATTTACTGAAGAACTGCTGGCAACTGTTTGTGTATGTTATATGTGCACACTGCAAGAGGGAACACTGCTGTCATCTGCAGCTCCCTGGGTGTGGTGTTGGGGCACGACACGACGCCTCCTCCACCAGGTATAGAAAACACAACCAACAGTATGACTAGAGCCAAGCGGTTCAGGCAGTATGACACAAATGCCTATTTTTGCAGTATCAATATAAAATTGCACATTTTGTCACTTTTCGTTAGTTTTATCGACTGGTATAAGAGAAACCCTTAGCTGTTTTAATTACTACTTGGCTGTCCTTAAATAAAAGAAAATATCCGGTTACTTTCCACGAAGTAGATTACTTTATGTTAAAATCGAATTGGACGTGTGTGTGTGTGTGTGTGTGTGTGTCCTTACACCGGCGCTCCGTCCTCCGCGGCCTGGACGTGCTGTCAGTCAGTCAGTTCCCTTTCAAACACTGCTGGACTCATTTCACTCTTCTTCAAAACTTATCAATTTAGTTAAAAGAGTTTGGTGGCAATGTGTTGTCTACAGATGGGGCAGAATTATTTTATAAAATGTGCAAAAAGAAAACAAAACAAAAGTGAACTAAGAGAATTAGTACTTTGTTTCTCAACATTTAGACACTCATTAACACACAGCTAGCGGTGTTGGCACAACTGGGAACAAAGTGTAACTTGTAAGAATTTAAAAAAAAAAAAAAATCTAAAAAAGTAATATTCTGAAACCAGCAAATTTATTTTGTTTGAAAGGAAATGTGGTTTATGTTCAGGATTTTTTTTATGTGTAAAAACTATCGGTTGTTTGGTGTGTTTACTAACAGAAGAAAATGTTAAGATGAGAGAATTTAACAAGTTAGTAAACATTGTTATGCTGAGGTGCAGACTGTACTGTACTGCACAGTAAATGACACATTTTGGGCTCACATTTCCTCTCTGAGAAGCAGCTAATTTTCACGTGAGAAAATTAATAAAAAAATACTATTTTTTGCAACAAATTAACTAGTTAACTCTCATTTATTTTGTTAATAATGTAATATTATGGATAATTTTTCTATAAATATTTTTTATGCAAAATAATTATTGACTTTTTCGTTTTCATGTTGCCTATTTTTGCCCATTCGGCTATTTTCCTGCCATCTAAAAAAAAAGTGTTGCAGTTGTAACATTACTAGAAAATCTCCACAAGGATCTCTGACACCTTCCCTTATTATACAGATACTTTAACAGCTACACTCACTAGTGTCACCCCCAAGCACCATAACCTGGCCTACGAGGGCTTCTGGCATGGCCCATGACCTGGCCTACGAGGGCTTTTGGCATGGCCCATGACCTGGCCTACGAGGGCTTCTGGCATGGCCCATGACCTGGCCTACGAGGGTTTCTGGCATGGCCCATGACCTGGCCTACGAGGGCTTCTGGCATGGCCCATGACCTGGCCTACGAGGGTTTCTGGCATGGCCCATGACCTGGCCTACGAGGGCTTCTGGCATGGCCCATGACCTGGCCTACGAGGGCTTCTGGCATGGCCCATGACCTGGCCTACGAGGGCTTCTGGCATGGCCCATGACCTGGCCTACGAGGGCTTCTGGCATGGCCCATGACCTGGCCTACTGAGGGCTTCTGGCATGGCCCATGACCTGGCCTACGAGGGCTTCTGGCATGGCCCATGACCTGGCCTACGAGGGCTTCTGGCATGGCCCATGACCTGGCCTACGAGGGCTTCTGCCATGGCCCATGACCCTGCCTACGAGGGCTTCTGCTATGGCCCATGACCTGGCCACCAGGAGGCTGGCATGGCCCATGACCTGGCCTACGAGGGCTTGCATGGCCCATGACCTGGCCTACGAGGGCTTCTGGCATGGCCCATGACCTGGCCCACGAGGCTGGCATGGCCCATGACCTGGCCTACGAGGCTTCTGGCATGGCCCATGACCTGGCCTACGAGGGGCTTCTGGCATGGCCCATGACCTGGCCTACGAGGGCTTCTGGCATGGCCCATGACCTGGGCCTACGAGGGTTTTGCTGCCCATGACCTGGCCTACGAGGGGCTTCTGCAGCAGGCCCATGACCTGGCCTACGAGGGCTTCATGGCCCATGACCTGGCCTACAGAGGGCTTCTGGCCATGGCCCATGACCTGGCCTACGAGGGCTTCTGCTATGGCCCATGACCCACCTACGAGGGCTTCTGCTATGGCCCATGACCTGGCCTCCCAGGGCTTCTGCTATGGCCCATGACCTGACCTACGAGGGCTTCTGCTATGGCCCATGACCTGGCCCACGAGGTTATGGCCCATGACCTGGCCTACAGGCTATGGCCCATGACCTGGCCTACGAGGGCTTCTGCTGCGGCCCATGACCTGGCCTACGAGGGCTTCTGGCATGGCCCATGACCCGGCCTACGAGGGGCTTCTGCCATGGCCCATGACCTGGCCTACGAGGGGCTTCTGCTATGGCCCATGACCTGCCTACGAGGGCTTCTTGCTATGGCCCATGACCTGGCCCACGAGGGCTTCTGCTATGGCCCCATGACCTGACCTACGAGGGCTTCTGCATGGCCCATGACCTGGCCTACGAGGGCTTCGCATGGCCCATGACCTGGCCTACGAGGGCTTCTGGCATGGCCCATGACCTGGCCTACGAGGGCTTCTGCTATGGCCCATGACCTGGACCTACGAGGGCTTCTGCTATGGCCCATGACCTGGCCTACGAGGGCTTCTGCTATGGCCCATGACCTGCCTACGAGGGCTTCTGCTCATGGCCCATGACCCTGACCAAGGAGGCTTCATGGCCCATGACCTGGCCTACGAGGGCTTCTTCTGATGGCCCATGACCTGGCCTACGAGGGCTTCTGCTATGGCCCATGACCTGGCCTACGAGGGCTTCTGCTATGGCCCATGACCTGACCTACGAGGGCTTCTGCGGCCCATGACCTGCCTACGAGGGCTTCTGCTATGGCCCATGACCTGGCCTACGAGGGCTTGCTATGGCCCATGACCTGGCCTACGAGGGCTTCTGCTATGGCCCATGACCTGGCCTACGAGGGCTTTCTGGCGGCCCATGACCTGGCCTACGAGGGCTTCTGCCATGGCCCATGACCTGGCCTACGAGGCTTCTGCTGTGGCCCATGACCTGGCCTACGAGGGCTTCTGCCATGGCCCATCACCTGGCCTACGAGGGCTTCTGCTATGGCCCATGACCTGGCCTACGAGGGGCTTCTGCTATGGCCCATGACCTGCCTCCATGAGGGCTTCTCTGGCGGCCCATGACCTGGCCTACGAGGACTTCTGCTATGGCCCATGACCTGGCCTACGAGGGCTTCTGCTATGGCCCATGACCTGCCTACGAGGGCTTCTGCCATGGCCCATGACCTGACCTACGAGGGCTTCTGCTATGGCCCATGACCTGGCCTACGGGGCTTCTGCTATGGCCCATGACCTGGCCTACAGAGGGCTTCTGCTATGGCCCATGACCTGGCCTACGAGGCTTCTGCTATGGCCCATGACCTGACTCTACGAGGGCTTCTGCTATGGCCCATGACCTGGCCTACGAGGGCTTCTGGCGGCCCATGACCTGGCCTACGAGGGCTTCTGCTATGGCCCATGACCTGGCCTACGAGGGCTTCTGCTATGGCCCATGACCTGGCCTACGAGGGCTTCTGCTATGGCCCATGACCTGGCCTACGAGGGCTTCTGCTATGGCCCATGACCTTTCTTTTGACGCTCCATTCCACTGAATCTCCACCACCCAGATCGCACTTATACCCTGGAGCAGTACTGTGTTACTCCCTCACTCACAGTTTTTTTCTCATCATATAACCTTTAACTGTTCTCATAGTGACACCACGGTCAGAGCGCCATCTTTGTGGTGCCTCCATTAAACAAGTGTATACAGTACACCAAGCGGCTGAAGGACTTGAAAACACTGCCAGAAAATTGTCGAGATCAGATTATGTTTATATGATCGATCACTTAACCAGTTATCAGCTCGGCCGGCTGGTCACTTATTTGTTACTTTATGAACTTTATTGTCAAGTGTTAGTACAAGAGTATGTCTGGCTCAGAACACAGGACACAGTTTGGAGAATTACATGCATTACTGTTGTACCACTGCGCCCCCACACACAAACACACTTGGGCATTATTTCACTCGTTGCCACCCAAACAATTTTGAGGATTTTATGGTTGCAATCAATAGTTGAGACAATTCTAAGTCACATTTCTTCTATGACGTTACTCTCGCAGACGAGTTATATGCTAGGAGGTCCAGGGCCCCTCGGTTAGGAGGTTAGGTTAAGTCGTTTGCGAGAGAAACGTCATAGAAGAAATGTGTCTTAGAATTGTCTAAACTATTGATTGCAACCATAAAATCCTCAAAATTGTTTGGGTGGCAACGAGTGAAATTTACCACACTTGTTCCCCGCACTAAAGGACGGGTGCTGAATACTACCAACACAAAACAACACAGAATCCAACAAAATTAACACACAACACAACACAACACACAAAGCGTCTGTAACACAAGAGTCTTACGTGGAATATTTGGGTTCCTCCGCGTCCCATCCTCCCGCAGGTCACACCCTTAGAGAAAACGGGTATAACTCACTTCAATGGCCCACTCTACCATACGAGTGTCACAAGACTTACAGAAAGATATGCAATTTGTGCGCCTTATTATTAACTTAACTTAGACTTCAATAATTATATTACAATTATTAGAGAGAGAGAGAGAGAGAGAGAGAGAGAGTTAATTTCAAGATTAGATAAAAATTCAATGTATTAAAACAAATTCCACCAACAACAACAATCACTAAACCAAGACTTATAAGTGAAGGTTGACAAGTATCCCAATGACTATATAACGTATGTATTTGTGTCCCGACCATAATACACTGTGCATACTAGTAAACCAGACTCCCAACCTAACCCTACACAATCATAGTCATCGAGATTGGTGCCTAAATGAACCGAGGCAATTTAGACTGGGGGGAAAATCATTGTGGTTAGGTTAGGTTAGCTTGGAACTTATTAAGACCGAGGCAATTTAGACTGGGGGAAATTCATTGTGGTTAGGTTAGGTTAGCTTGGAACTTATTAAGACCGAGGCAAAATTGTGATGGTTAGTTTATGTTAAGTTGGTTAGGACTGAGGGCATTGGAATATAAACAAGAAAGCTTTCAGTCAATATCCGAAAGCAAAGTCTTGAAAAAAATCCAATAAAAATGAAGCTTAAACAACAGAGAAGTTTATGAGACTCTCTTTAAAAAAAATGTGACCACTAAAACCTGAGGTAACACACTCATGAGGCAACAGACAGAAACACAAACCTGAGGTAACACACTCATGAGGCAACAGACAGAAACACAAACCTGAGGTAACACACTCATGAGGCAACAGACAGAAACACAAACCTGAGGTAACACACTCATGAGGCAACAGACAGAAACACAAACCTGAGGTAACACACTCATGAGGCAACAGACAGAAACACTAACCTGAGGTAACACACTCATGAGGCAACAGACAGAAACACTAACCTGAGGTAACACACTCAATGAGGCAACAGACAGAAACACTAACCTGAGGTAACACACTCATGAGGCAACAGACAGAAACACTAACCTGAGGTAAACACACTCATGAGGCAACAGACAGAAACACAAACCTGAGGTAACACACTCATGAGGCAACAGACAGAAACACAAACCTGAGGTAACACACTCATGAGGCAACAGACACTCCACGCACAGTATGGCCGGTATCCTCACTCAGCGCCCCTCTGGTCGATATAAAATGATGGGATTTACACACACACTTATTCCTGTACCTGGATACACACACCAGCACGCACGAACACACGCATGTTGACTGATTAACTCGACACACACACAAACTCACTTGAGATGGTCCATGATCGCTTGATGAGGGAGCGCTTGACCACATCGGCCGGGGGGACATACACCTTATTCTCTCGTCGACGACTCGGCCGACGGATAAACTCGTTCATCCACTCTCCTGAAGCCAGCTGAATCTCTCTGTAAACAAAGAATCACATTAGAATGGTTTGTTCTCGTTAGATAAACGGTATTAAATAAGGTTGTTAAAAATAAGAAGTTATCCCTCAACTTTCTCCATTTTCTTCAAGTCTTGGTTTTCTCTTACAGCTGTTATGGTTAACTCGTTCAAAAATATTTTATACTGCTGATTCCTTTAACGTAATAAAATATAACACACCGACATCTTCATAAAAGGTAACTCACCCACTCCTGAAATCACGGACACATAACACATGGAAATACGCACCAACACCTCAACTACTACACGTTATGAGATAATAGTCACAAATTTCGTGCACGTTCACCTATCACCAGAGGAGACTAAACCACGTATCAACTTCAAACTAGGACCATCAGTGTAAAACAAATGAATATTATTGACAATTGGTATCGAAGATCTTTTTTCGGATCACGTGAGATTAGTCCCCTAGCCCCAACCCCCACAGACAGCGCTGAGGGAGTCAAACGAATGAAACACACAACACGAATAACAAAATATATACCATACAATAAGAATCTTAAGGCTTCTTGTACATGGTAGATTCGCAGCCTTAAATAACATGCTCGAGAAGCTAGCATGTAGTAGACAAAATTCCTTCTACAGTGCCAATAACATCCTTACAGACTCCCAGTTTGGATTTAGAGCTAGAAGGTCGACTAAGAGTGCTCTGCTATCCTTTACTAATGACACCTTAAATTCCTTTGATGAGTCAGTTCACAGTCGGTATATTCTTGGACCTCTCTAAAGCCTTCGATACTGTCGACCATACCATCCTCCTCTCACAGCTTGAACATTACGGCATTAGGGGCCTGTCCCACAATTGGCTTACCTCATATCTGTCTAACAGGAAGCAGTATGTCTGCTATAGTAATCATCAATCTGACTCCTTACATGTTTTGTATGGCGTCCCTCAAGGCTCCATTCTCAGCCCAGTACTGTTCTTGTTGTGCATAAATTATATAGTCCACTCCAGCACATAAGTAAAATATAATTTACAGGCAGACGAAAGTAATCTTTATGCCAGTCACCCAGACCTCCATTCCTTGATGAGAACTATGAACACTGAATTAACTAAACTAAGGAAATGGATAATATGTAATAAACTGACCTTAAACCTTTAATAAAAAACATTACACAATCTTTCACAGAAGGAAAAACTTATTAGTCCCTCAAACGTGATCAAAATACTAAATTCCTTGGGGTTATTGTTGATGAGAAACTTAACTGGAAAAACCACATACACGCCATTCACAGTAAAGTCAGTAAACAGTGCGGTATCATGTATAACACTTGTTTCACTGTCATACACTATAGGGGGCCTCAGGAACCACTAAAATACAACCCTTGGTCACTGCTCAGAAAAAGAGTTGCGGGGACAATGACCTATTTAAAAAAAAAATCACACAAACGAAAAATTTGCGAAACTGAAGCCATTAAAATTCGAGGAAATTAAGACTTACTGCTGTGATCTATTTGCTTATACAGTTAATCATTTAATACAGAAGACTACGCTCCAAATCATCTCAAAATATAGTTAGTAATATTTTTGTAAGACTTAAATTTTAAACTTTTACTATACCACTGAAAACCATTTTATCATATATTGTCACGTTCATAGAAATTATCATCGCCAAAATTATATCGGTATTATTTTAGTTCCGGTCATCCGGGAAATCTTAGGAGGTAGGTTGGTTAGGTTAGGTACCCAAACTATTTTTCCGATGGTTTTGAACAATGTGGACTTTCGTATCTGTCGGAAATTATAATTTGGATATATCTAAATACAAGGATGACCAAAACTAAAATTTGCCATCAGGAACATGACCCTGACTGTCTCTTTGTTTCACCCCAACAACCCGTGTTGTATCTCGTCCACTAACTTACTGTATATCAACTCTACTGTAAAAATGTGTATATACTTATAATATAAATGTACAAAATAAATAAATGAAAAAAGTGATAATCGTGGTAACACAGTAATATGTATTTACTAACGCGATGTTACATGTAGTAATCGATAATACTAAATGTTATCTAATAATTCCCAGAGATAAATGTATACTATATAAGGTGCCACTAAGAGGGTTCAGGCTCTCACTTGGCTCAGCCAGGTCAATATTATTATTCTTGTCTACTCTGCATCTGTATTTTCTGGCCTTAATAAACTGTTTCAATATCACAACTGTACTGACACTATCGTCGAAGACATACCAGGACAGGTGTTGCTGTGCACATACCAGACAGGTGCTGTGTACATACCAGGACAGGTGTTGCTGTGTACATAACAGGACAGGTGTTGCTGTGCATACCAGACAGGTGCTATGTGTACATACCAGGACAGGTGTGGCTGTGTACATACCAGGACAGGTGTGGCTGTGTTCATACCAGGACAGGTGTGGCTGTGTACATAACAGGACAGGTGTTGTTGTGTACATACCAGGACAGGTGTTGCTGTGTACATAACAGGACAGGTGTTGCTGTGTACATACCAGGACAGGGTGTTGCTGTGTACATACCAGGACAGGTGTGGCTGTGTACATAACAGGACAGGTGTTGCTGTGTACATACCGACAGGTGTTCGTAACAGGACAGGTGCTGTGTACATACCAGGACAGGTGTGTTGTGTACATACCAGGACAGGTGTGGCTGTGACATACAGGACAGGTGTTGCTGTGTACATACCAGGACAGGTGTTGTTGTGTACATACCAGGACAGGTGTTGTTGTGTACATACCAGGACAGGTGTGGCTGTGTACATAACAGGACAGGTGTTGCACATACCAGGACAGGTGTTGTTGTGTACATACCAGGACAGGTGTGGCTGTGCATAACAGGACAGGTGTTGCTGTGTACATACCAGGACAGGTGTTGCTGTGTACATACAGACAGGTGTTGCTGTGTACATACCAGGACAGGTGTTGTTGTGTACATACCAGGACAGGTGTTGCTGTGTACATACCAGGACAGGTGTGGCTGTGTACATAACAGGACAGGTGTGGCTGTGTACATACAGACAGGTGTGCTACCCAGGACAGGTGTTGCTGTGTACATACCAGGACAGGTGTTGTTGTGTACATACCAGGATGTGTGTGGCTGTGTACATAACAGGACAGGTGTGGCTGTGTACATAACAGGACAGGTGTTGCTGTGTACATAACAGGACAGGTGTTGCTGTGTACATACCAGGACAGGTGTTGTTGTGTACATACCAGGACAGGGTGTTGTTGTGTACATACCAGGACAGGTGTGGCTGTGCATACACAGGACAGGTGTTGCTGTGTACATACCAGGACAGGTGTTGCAGTACATACGAGGACAGGTGTTGCTGTGTATACCAGGACAGGTGTTGCTGTGTACATACCAGGACAGGTGTGGCTGTGTACATACAGGACAGGTGTGGCTGTGTACATAACAGGACAGGTGTTGCTGTGTACATACCAGGACAGGTGTTGCTGTGTACATACCAGACAGGTGTTGTTGTGTACATACCAGGACAGGTGTGGCTGTGTACATAACAGGACAGGTGTGGCTGTGTACATAAACAGGACAGGTGTTGCTGTACATACCAGGACAGGTGTTGCTGTGTACATACCAGGACAGGTGTGGCTGTGTACATAACAGGACAGGTGTTGCTGTGTACATACCAGGACAGGTGTTGCTGTGTAACATACCAGGACAGGTGTTGTGTGTGCATACAGACAGGTGTTGCTGTGTACATACCAGACAGGTGTGGCTGTGTACATACAGGACAGGTGTTGCTGTGTACATAACAGGAAGGTGTTGTGTGTACAACCAAGGTGTTGCTGTGTACATACCAGGACAGGTGTTGCTGTGTACATACCAGGACAGGTGTGGCTGTGTACATAACAGGACAGGTGTGGCTGTGTACATAACAGGACAGGTGTTGCTGTGTACATACCAGGACAGGTGTTGCTGTGTACATACCAGGACAGGTGTTGCTGTGTACAAACAGGACAGGTGTTGCTGTGTACATACCAGGACAGGTGTTGTGTACATACCAGGACAGGTGTTGCTGTGTACATACCAGGACAGGTGTTGTGTGTACTGTACATACCAGACAGGTGTTGCTGTGTACATACCAGGACAGGTGTTGTTGTGTACTGTACATACCAGACAGGTGTTGCTGTGTACATACCAGGACAGGTGTTGCTGTGTACATACCAGGACAGGTGTTGTTGTGTACATACCAGGACAGGTGTTGTTGTGTACATACCAGGACAGGTGTTGCTGTGTACATACCAGGACAGGTGTTGCTGTGTACATACCAGGACAGGTGTTGTTGTGTACATACCAGGACAGGTGTTGCTGTGTACATACCAGGACAAGGTGTACATACCAGGACAGGTGCTGTGTACATACCAGACAGGTGTGGTATATACCAGGACAGGTGTTGTGTACATACCAGGACGGTGTTGTGTACATACCAGGACAGGTGTTGCTGTGTACATACCAGGACGGTGTTGTTGTGTATATACCAGGACAGGTGTTGTGTACATACCAGGACAGGTGTTGCTGTGTACATACCAGGACAGGTGTTGTTGTGTACATACCAGGACAGGTGTTGTTGTGTTGACGTGTCATTGTTGTCAAGAGCAGCGGTGCGTCCTCTTAACTCTATCACCTTATCCACCTCCTCTCAACTCTTGGAGGTGACTGACTGACAACGTGATGTGCTCTCTTACCATACACGGCGTGTTAGTAGGTGCGGCAGTGACTGGATAGTTAAGAGAGATGTTTGGCTGGTGATTGGACAGTTCACACAGACAACAAACCAACCACACCTAAATATAAGATTTAAAGTGTTTCTACTTTAATATACTCTATCTATACTGTACTGTACACGTTACCCTGGCGTGGCTGTAACACGGGCAGTCTGGGTGAATTATTGTCATTAATGTTGTGCTTCGTTATTGTTATATAGCGTTCATCTCTGCCTTCATAATGGATATAAATACTT